ATAGACGTGAGCACTTAATGGCGCAGAAGCACATTTCCTCTGTGCTAAATTGCTAATTAACGTGATTCATTGGCGCTTGTACTCGCTGTTTAAATGCCAGCGCGTGTGCGGCCTCCACTTTTACGGCGCCTGCTCGCTCACCTGTTTGCTAGGCGCCGCAAGGCTAACGGCAGTTGACTTTGGACAATAGGCAGGGTACAACCTGGACTGGTCGCCGGGCAATTGCCAGACAGACATTGACACCTACGGACAATTTTGAATCTTAACCACCCATAAAACGCACGAAAACCCACACATGCAAACGTTTCATGGGGAAGTTAGGATGGGGGAATTTTGAAGATGCATCTATCAATTTCTGGAGTGCTTATCCTCATTAGGGTCGCATGTGTGCTGGAACTGATTCCATTGGCGACCAGTCTGGGCTACACACTGGACTGGTCACCAGTCAATCACAGCGAATTTTGCAGATGCATAATACTGTGATCTCACCAGCTACTAAACACATGTATGTCCAAGTGGTTTTCTTTTAAGACAAAACGTGTAGTAGTAATTGAAAATGGACACTTGCCACTTTGGTGGTATTGTACGTTAATTCGTTGGGCAACAAATTCTGGTGAAGGAATGCGATCCATGCAAGGGGTGTGGCCTACGAGGACATACAGTACCGTGTGCAGTGTCAATATCAAAGAAGATGTGATCAAAGATTTGGCTTGATTATTTTCATTTTAGTTTTATCTTGTCGATTCCAAAATTTTTGTTATTTTTCTGCCTGACCTTTTATCACTCGGCAACTTCCCATGTCAACATGTTCAGATCATTCAGGGGAGTTTCAAATCAATACCCCCCAATGAAATGAATGGAGAAACTAACACAAATGGTTTTCCTCTACATAACTATTAATTCACAATTTACGCCAATGCGTACGAGTTTGGACAATATTTCACCTCATCCTGAGTATCGGGTCCAAAATGAGTCAAGTTTCACTTTTTTGGCGTATTGTAATCTCTTTTACAAGTATTAAAGGGTATGTCAAGTCAAAAATCTTTATTACAATAATATGTTCGGTGTTCCCCGCTAGCCTGCAGACGTTATTCTGATTAATAGTGCATTTGTGGAATATAAATTTAGCAGAAAAATCCACCCATTTTTAATCCATCTCAGGGGGCGAGTGCAGATGACATCACAGTGCCCAAGGGCTCAAGTTACGACCTTCACGGCTCACCTGTTTGCTGGGTTTGGTCATGTGACATTTTCAAGCTGAGCCCTTTGGCACTGTGATGTTATTTGCAGTCGACAGCAAGTGGCAAAATGGCTGCCCGCTGAGATGGATAAAAACCAAAAAATTTTTTTTTTTTCCTGCTTAATTCAGATTCCACAATCTCAGAGTGTCATATTTAGGATAGAGGGAGCGCATAGAACATGTTGTAAAGAACATTTTTGACTTGACTTATTCACATTTATACGTACAAAACACTTGGCATGTAGTTTGTGTCCTTTTTGAACTGACTCACGTCTGTCTTTGTGTGTAGGACTCATCTCTCCTGGAGTGTCTGTCCCAGTGCAAGTCCCAGGGAGCGAGCCTGACATGTCTCAGTACTGGTCTAGACTACAGTAGGGAGAAGAGCTACTTCACCTTGTGAGCTCCAACGTGGACCTCCTCATATCCACACTCCACACACACACACATTCAGTATACACAACAGAAGAGGAGGATGCGGACTTGCGTTGTTGCGCCGGGCACATTCAAACGAGGACTAGGATTAAAAAAAAAAACAAAAACAAATGGACCTCCGCAAAAGTGCCCGGTGTTACATTTTTACGGAACAACAGCAACGAAAAAAAACCTTGCAGGTTTTTTTTTTTTTTTTTTACTATTTCCAGTCATTGTTTCCTATTTTTCTTTCTGGTGTGTTAGAAAATGGCCATTTTGTATGTGAATATGAACGATCAAGTGCTGATAGATGGACTACTAGGAAACCATGTTGTCGACACTCTGCCATGACTATCTTTTAATGTGCTTATATCCAGATGCTCTGTGCATGGACACTGTTGCATATCATGAATGGAGGGAAGACTCTGAAAAACTATTTATTGTCCCCACGAGGAAGAGGCTGCAGTCACACACACACATACACACACACTCACACACACAGATGGCTATCTCAAGCGATCCAACTGGGACCTCCGCCGCATCCCGCGAGGACCAATGTGGAAGCCTGTAGTCTGTAAATGGTAGACTGCGTCTTTGCTCTAATTTTTTTTGTTTCTTGTCCAAATGTAAAGTACCTGTCTTCCCTCAAGAGAGAGAAAGAAAAAAAAATCTCCAATAAAAGTTGATTTCATTTATAACCCCCTCCTTCTTCCCCTACCAAGAATATTCTATCAATGTTCCATGCATCATAAAGTACATTTCTTTAGGGTCAGGTACAATTTGTCTCTTAGCTATAGTTGTAATATAGTGTCCTATGGTCAAAAAAAAAATGTGTGCAACTAGAAATATTTAATTCCTATAATTATGATTAAACATTGCTTGACAGAGTTTTAAACTTCAGTGTTTGGCAGTTGTTTACAAGTACATATCAGATGTAATCATTGTTGATTGTAAAACAGACCAAAGCCTTTGTATTTCATCTAGTACACAATGTTTTATTTTTCAAGATATTAAGTCTTGTGTTGCAACATTTTGTAAACACGTCTTGGGTTCGACGACATCGGCTTCGAGTTTGTACGACTGCGGCGGAGCCCCGCGGTCCTTATTTATAATTGAAGACCATGGGAGTTTTTTTTTTTTTTCTCTCGCATCATCTGTCATGCTCTTTTACTTTTGTTCTATTTTATTTTTATGTCGGTGTGTATGTAGAACATGGACACATATGGGGTTTACGTCTGGGCAAATGGAGATAAAAATGTCGACACACTGTCTCTTTAAATATTTCAATTTAATTTTATTTAAAATGGAGCTTTCTAAATGTATTTTGTGAAACTATAAAAAAACCATTTTGTACAGTAAAATTGTGTCTGAAAACATTTTTTAATGGTTTTTTTTTTTTGGTAATTATTATAGTTTTTCTGATGCATGCCTCATAGGATTTTTGACACACAGAAACTGAATCAGGAAAAGCAAAGTGCGGTAGTGGTTCACATGCCCGCCTTTAAACTTCTATGGTTTGGGGTTTGAATCTTGAGTTATGTTGTCCCTCCGATTGGTACTCCAGCTTTCTTGCACATTTTAAAAACAGATCCAGGTCTGGTTCATTCAAGACTCTAAATTGTCCTCTGAACTGTTTGTCTGTATGTGCCCTGCGAGTGACCGGCAACCAGTCCGGGGTGTACCACACTTCTTGCGCAATATCAGCTGGGAATAGACTCCAGCTCACGATCAAGACAAAGGCAAGAGAAACTAGAGGGATGGATGTTACAACTTTATACTTGTAAAATTGTGTGTGTTTCCTAGCATCTCAAATTTGGACTTTTCTTCATTTTTGTTCTCATGATACTGCCACAATATGTATTTACATTTTTTTTCGACAATGTGAAAAGAGCATTCTGTCACACTGACGGAAGGGCCGTCAGTCCGTCACCGTTTCTGTCAGTGTTTTAGGTCGACCCACATGGGCCCAGTCTGTCACTTGTCAGCAACAGCCATTCGGCAGCAAGGATTTTCAAGTTGCACATAGGCACAGCAGAAGCCAAAACGCAGCCCACAACAAACAAACAAACAAAAAAAACAACAACACATACATGTACAGCTTGGTGAATGGTAAAATAAAAACAATCTGTCATTGAGATCTGTAGGACTGAAAGGTATACAACCTAGTTTTATTTATTTATTTTTTCTGTATTTGGCTCTGTGTCAGGTTTGCAGCACCTGCGTGGAGAATTGTACCGGTAAGTCCATTCTCGACACTGTTTGGCTGTCATCAACGACTCGGACTGGGCTGGCCTGAAACAATGACGGCAGCTTACTGATGGACTCACCAGAGTTATATCTATATCTTGACGTTATCCATGGTAATATTTATCCATACTAACACATTAACAAACTATTTGTATGTTACTTCCCATCACTGCAGACTAGGGAGTACCACGCCTCTTGCTCAAAGTCAGCTGGGATAGACCTGCGACCCTAATGAGCAAAATGTGAGGAAAGATGGATGGAGTAAAAACAAAACAAAGCAATCAAACCCTCGCCCTTCTGTATACAGGCCACCATCACCGAACCCGCAATTCCACCTTCCTTTCTTTAAAAATTAAGACAAATGTCAGAGCGACACTTCCAATGTGAATAACAAACGGGACTTGATGTGAGGCGCATCCAATCTGAGTACACAATGAGGAAAAGGTCAAGGCGATTCGCCATCTGGCAGAGTACGATGTTGCGGTGGTACAATGCCGACAGGAAAGAAGAATGTGGTCGTGTGTCTTAGTTTGCTTTACTTGAGGTGCATGTTTGGCAAAAACAGGAGGCCCAGGATAAGATGGAATTCAGGTAACCTTCTCTCAGCATAGGGTGTAAAACACTGAATTGTAATTTCACAAGCTGGAAGCCATAACATTAGAAAATAGGAAAACAATTATTTGATGAGAATAAAGTCAAATTACGGGGGAAAAGGGTATTTTAAATGGTTCGGTTATGAAATTTTGTGCTGAAATGAAATGTGGAAAAAAAGGTGTACTTTTACAAAGTCAGAACAAACATTTGGAATTTGATGGAGACAGAAAAAAATTCAAAGTGACGAATTATAAAATGCAATTTCTATTTTTTAACCACTGATATCATGATAATCTGCGAACCCATTTCTTGGTAGCTTCAACTGGATTGCTTTCACAATTGTTGGGATGAAAATGTTGACCCCACGTGGTGGTTCAAATTAATCACCCAACGTTAGCTCAGTCCCTTTTGGACCCAGCACTACACAAACCTTGTTACCAATTTGGGTTTCTTTTGACCCAGCAAGTTTTAAGAGTTTAGTGAGAGAGACTGATTACCATTAACAGGCTCGTATTTGATGTTGGCTTTTATTGTCAATATACACACACAAAACGAAAATATGAAATGAAATGAAACATGTCCAAATGAAAGGAGGTAATTGTGGCGTTCTTGGCTGACTGCAGGGACAACTGGCAGATCCCGAACAGCTTGGCAGCAGACGTCAGGCGCGGCATGGCATGACGTGGGCGGAAGAAGAGCCAGGTCACCGCGGCATTCCAGGTGTCGCTTGCCGAGTAGCCACTCCAGCTCTAGAAATCCAGGTGCTTGTTGCCAGAGTCACAGGCAGAAGCCAACGCGGCTGCTCCTGCCGCATCCGCCCTGCTCACACGACTCACCGTCTCAGACAAGTCTGGAGGCAAATGTAGTCGCTAGAAAAATGAGAGTGGGAGGGGAGGGGGGAGAAAAACGTGGAAGGGGTAAGGGCAGATTATTAGATCAGCTGGCAAAAAAAGTGGATCATCATACAGTAGATGTAACCTTCAGTGATGTTTATTCACACAGAGCCGCGTTGCGTTGAAATTGCATTAAATGCTTCAGCACTCTGCGCAGAGCTGCCAGCGTGGAGTAAACCTGCTAGCGTGTTGCTAAATGCTTCACAGAGATTCAAGTCTGTTACGTTTCAGGGAATACATGTGCGTGCGAAAGAGAGAGAGTGAGTGATAGAGTGAGAGACGGGTGGGGAGAGAGTGGCGTCTTTCTATGGACCTCTTCATAATTCTAATGACAATCAACTACCATATGTACCTGTAAATGACATCTTTTGAGGAGAATGTTTCAACCTCAAAGGAAGGCTTCATTAAGTTTACATGTGTGGCTTGACTGGATAGTAATTAATTATCTTATTTCACTTTTATGATGAGATTTTCACCACACAGGCATGTCCATGTTGGGTCCAAGGAGACGTAATATATGCAAACTCACTGCTAGACAACAGACATACTTTGGAGTAACAGGAGGACACAAAGAAAAAACGATGCCTTAATGCATTGCAAACATTTCCAATTGACCAGAAACAGCAAATAAGCACACTGGCATGTTATGGCAACGATTTTTACACAAAGAGTATTTCCGCAAGTTTTGTCAAGCCCACGTTGCGCACAAGGACAGACAGGCATGCGCCCATGTGCAGTAGGGTGGTCCATTTTGGAAAAGTTTGTCGGATTCGTCGGGCCGGGTCGGAAATCTTGTCGATACTATGACACAAGGATGTGTGCAAAATTTTATTCCGATCGGATAATTTTATCCCGTCCCGCAGAGCGACCAAAGTTTCCCCTATGGAAAGAATGTTACGGGGCTGAATGGTAGTACGGTTTCTCCCGTACAGTAAGGATTTTGTTTTGCTCAGTTCGCACTTGCAATAATTCAAAGACGGAAGACAGGAACGCATGTATTGCAAAAAAGGCAACCGTGGTTATCCTTCAACACTGGTGAGATTGTTGGTCCATGTTAACTGGTCCATCTGTCTATCTGTCCATCTGTCTATAATGTCCATCAACACTAGTGACACTGTTAGACCGCAAAAAAAACGAAATCCGCCGTGCGTGCCATCCCATGCCTACTTCGCGCACGGGTGCAACGCCCGGTGTCGCTCCACGACCTGCAGAAGGTGCTGTCGCTGTTCCTCGTCGCGCGTGATGGCGCCGCAAAACGCGCTGATGAGGGCGACGCCCCTCTCCGCAAAGTCGTTCACCACCCGTAGGTGACGAGCGCGCCGACGAGCCGTGGTGATGTTCGATGTCGAAAAGCGTCCTCAGCTCAGCGTCCAGTAAGAATTCCGGCGATTCTCGACTTCAATTGAAAGATATTAGCTCGCCAGTAGGTGACCGTTGTGTGTTAGGCGTGCGTTTGAGTTTGTCTCCGGCTGCTGAGAGCAGCGATGGAATGGTTAGTTAGTCAGGAGGTGATCGTTCGGGCAACATTCAGCCCAGCCAGTGTCACGCATGGCAAAATACACGGTTAAAATACACATGTTCACCCTATTGAGACCAGTTGTTATGGTGGAAACTTTGGCCGCTTTGCGGGACGGGAAAATATCATCAGATCGGAATGAAATTTTGCACAGAACCTTGTACCATAGTATCGAGAAGAATTCCGACCCGGCCCGACGAATCCGACAAACTTTTTTTTTTGCCATGAAAATGTGGACCACCCTAATGTGCAGTTAACATTTCGCCAAAGTGGAGTCATTTACAATTAGACAAGGGACACGCAAGGTAGGTGACATTAAAAACCAACACCGTGCCGAGTATTTTCAACAAGCACAGGATGGAGATGAGCTCAATTGCCCAAGGAAAGATGTGTTCCACCTCGCAAACCTCCGCCATTCCCGGCATGTTGTTTTAACTTTAACATATTTATATGTTGCGAGCTACAAATGCTGCAGGTATTGGGGATGTCAAAGGTGATCAGAGGTCACAATTATATCAGAGCTTGTAAATGCTCCAAGTCACATTTAAGGGACAGTTTAAACTCTACAAACCCATTTTAGACCATTTTTAATTGAAAACATTGGACTGTTGCATAATGGAAGTTGCAAATGTAAACGTTTGAAAACGTCATATAGTCGAGACAAAAAAAAAAAAAAGAATGTCACTGAACGTTCATAACTCCTGTGTTTCCATTCCATCAAAGTCTTGCCCTTAAATGCTTCAACACATGATAAATTAACAACCAATGATTCCTCACAATGGGCACAAATCTTAATGAACAATTCACTGATTATTTCGGCTCAAATGTATGATTTTGTAAAAGACCACACGCATCCATTTTTTACAAAGCAACATCGCCAACTAGCAACTGCGTTTTCTGTCATTTTGCAAGTATGCGAGAAAGTGGACCGAACTTTTCTTGAGAATAAAGGCTTTCACCGTTTACCCTGAAAGAACAGCAGTCATGTCCATAAGTAGCGCATGTGAGCTGATTGTGTCTGTAACACAAATGACCACCCGAGTCTTTCGGCTGAGTTACCGGTTTCACAGAAAAGCTTATCTGCGGAGCAGCCCTGTGCCAACTCAAAGCACAAAGACGCTAAGAGGTTAATGAGGGCCGCTCGTGCAAAGCTCCCTAAGACCAACACGCTAACTGCGATCAAACTTAAGCGGGGCTTCGCTACGCTCCCTTCAGGGTTTCGCCAGAAAAGCCGCCCGTGGCACTCCAAAGAACAAAGTCTTGAAGAGGCTCTGAGAGTGGGAGAAGGAGGTGAAGTGTCTCCAGAGTCGAGTGTGCGCAGGACAATGTCGGGCTGCGTGTTGCTTGAGCACCTCTGACGGTATCAGAATGAAGGCATTTTGGGCACAAGAGGAGCTAAAGCCTGTAATTTGCCCCTGAAAGAATCTGCCAGGACATTTGAAACCTCCTGGTCAAAGGCTGCGCCTTGCCCCCCTGATTCTCCCCCTCTAGCTCACTCCTGTAAGGCTTCCCTGCCCGCTGTATGCTCAACCCCTCCAGACATGCAGCTTTAGGAGAGCCCTTCCACTCCCACAGATACTTATCTCTTTCCTAATGAGTAGGTGTTTTGGTACAGGCTTTAACGGCGTCATTACTAAGAGATAATTCGGCGCGACGCAACACTCGTCATCACCCGAGGGTAGACCGCTTCCTTCTTTTGCCATGTGTTGTTTTTGCAGGAATCCGGAGAGTCCAAAATGCAGAAAATGTTTGCTGTGATGTTCGGGGTCTGATGTGGTGGATGTTTCCCTCCTGCTACTGTGGCCAACAGATCATTGGGGCATCAAACTCAAGAGGTCTCCTTTCTGTGAACTCAAAATCTTTTGTGAGCTGAAACAGGAGGAGGACTGGTCTGAATGCTGCATGGCAGGTGAATACTGAGACACGGCGAAGGACCTGTAATTTTATGTTGGATGGTTAGGTAAGGTTCCATGGGAAGGATGGTAGATTCCATCTGGGTGGACAGATGAGATTTCTTTCGAATGGTGTGCAGGCGGGACAGCAATAGCTGCATTACGACGTCAAAATGTCGGTTGGGTTAGGTTAGGTGGATACTTGATTGAAATTGCGGATATACTGTCATATCTGATCTCATAGCATCAAGCATTTTGGTTTTCTTAATTTTTGTCTGTGCCAATGCGAAAGCAGGGCACAGGGATCTATTCCTTCACTCACAAAACTACATCTTTATTTCAGATAGTTGTTGCTGGCGTGGTTGCTTTAGAGTGCCTTGTTGTCAGCTTTGACTGCACAGAAAGAAAAAAGAGTGAGGAGGGGGGAAGATAAAGTCCGAGAAGATAGCCAGCGTGTGGACAGGGGCTTCGTCTTGATGTGTCCGCTTTACAGTGCCCTGTTGAAAATTCATAGAGTTGATGGTTTTTCTGAATTCAAATTTGGCAGGGCTATGACAAACATTTTTCTTTGTGGTGTGAAAGTAGAAAGACATTTATTTTTACTTTACAGGGATTTTAAAATGGATACCCTGAAAATATTTTCAGCACTGAAAAGCTTTGGTGAGAAGAATTAGCAAGCTGAAAGGATGACGAATGGGTCGAATCGTTCAACTCACACTGAGAGCTTCTTTCTGCAGACACCCGTGCAAACTCGCATATCGGACTTGAGGGGGGCCTCCAGACGTTCCGCTTCCATCCCTGCCAAACTTCACCTGCGTAACCTTTTGTGTCGTTAGCTCAGTCAAGTGTAATTGAAAAAGAAAAACAATGCATTGATCAAGCCTGGACTCAGTCCTGCTTAGTGCACTGCAGCGGAAACATGCTACTGAGCAGGGGATGGAGGAAAATCAATCACATATACATCATCCTCAGAGGGCGAGTTAAAAAAAAAAAAAAAGAGGAAGATCACACCGTTGTCTGGCTGTCACGCACCCACAGCCCTGGCTTGGCTGAGTGTGTTTGGCTCAGGGCTGTGTGGGCACACTGAGCATGTGCAGAGCGAAGGTCAAAGCAATCCAGAAGTTCAGATCAGCTCTTCTGACCTCCGAGTTCAGGGGCACATGAGAACAATCAATGCTAACGCTAAAGTTGGAGGGAAGAGCAGACAAAAGCAATCAATCGGCTGCGCACATTCGGGGGGAAAGCTTGTTGGTAAGGCTCGTTGTTGTCTGTCATCGATGCAACAAGGAGAGCGCGTTCAGGCTCATACCGAAATAATATACTCTCTCTTCAGAGAGGTTGCAAGAAATTGAATTCGACAAGTGATAAAGCGAGTCTGGGCGTCTCTGTCCGACACCAAATTAACGGAGGCTAGTGGAGGACCTAAGACACACAGTATGGGAGGCTCAAAGACTGCTTCCCAATGACCTGCACACTCCATGGTGTAAACAAGGACATCCGGAAAACTCCCATAGGCACCGTGGGGTGTATGTATGAGCGAAGTCTTTCCCGGCTGCCTGGCAACCTTC